CTAGTACTATTACCAGAAAGCTTCGTTTCATGTGTAATTTCATTTAGGTATTGGTCACCCAATTGCAAATTCTCACCTTCATCTAAGTAAATTTCTCTTAAATCTTGGGTTATGAGAATCCATATTTTCCGTGTTTGATGTCTTCTCTTTGAGAGTTTTTAATTTTGGTAAAAAATATCCATAATAATTTTAGCGACAAGCAAGGAATCCTAGACACGTCTAGGTACTCTTTTACATATAATTTTTGTTACTCTAATAAAAAATATTTTATAATAAACAACAAAAAATGCGATTTTCTTAAACCCTTTTTTATACTCTCGCAACCTGTTGCTACAGAGTATAATAGTTTTGTTCACCAAACGGTTGTTTGTATCACCTAAAACTAATCGAGCTAGATATAGGGTTATGTGTATAAATGATCAGGATGAAGAGACGAGTTGAAATCCGGGTGACTGTCCGTCCGTCCGTCCGTGCAAGCTCTAACTTGAGTAAAAATTGAGATATCTTTATGAAACTTGGTAGACATGTTTCTTGGTACCGTGAGACGGTTGGTATTGCAGGTCGGCGTAATCGGACCACTGCCACGCCCACAAAATGCCATTAATCAAAAACAAATAAATTGCCATAACTAAGCTCCGCAATAAGATACAAGACTGTTATTTGGTACACATGATCACATTAGGGAGGGACATATGTAGTTAAATTTTTTTTTAAGTGGGCGTGGTCACACCGCTAATAGGTTTAATGTGCATATCTCCTAAACCGCTAATGCTATAATAACAAAATTCATTGCAAGCAAAGCAAACCTCTACCTACAGTGTGAAAATAGTTGAAATCGGGTGGCAACTCCGCCCACTCTCCATATAACGGTACTGTTAAAGACTACTAAAAGCGCGATAAATCAAGCACTAAACACGCCAGAGACATTAACTTTTATCTCTGGGATGGTATGAGCTGCCTTTATAGGAACCGCGTTCAAAATTAGACATTTTGCGTGGCACCGCCCACTTTTAGGTGAAACCCCATATCTTGCGATCCGCTTAACCGCCTTCAAACAAATTCGGTGCATAACGTCCTTTTCATATTTCTATGTCATAGTGCAAAAATGGGCGAAATCGGACTACAACCACGCCTATATCCCATATAACACCATTTTCAATTCCATCTGATTCTTTCACTTTCCACTATGCAAATCAGGTAACAATGATTATATCGGGGTAAAACTTTGCGTGAATAATGCAATTAAAGTATGCCACCTTGCGGCCAAAAATTGTCTAAATCGAACCAAAACTGTTCAAACCCCTAAGTACTAAATATGTGGACCCCAGTGCCTATAGTTGACCTTCTACCGAGAATATCAGTCAAGCCACAAAGAAATCTCAAACGAGTATACTATTTGACTTTGCGAGAGTATAAAATGTTCGGTTACATCCGAACTTAGCCCTTCCTTACTTGTTTTGTTATATATTTGTTTACCAATCTTTTTATTTATTCTTAACTATAATATTTTCGTTTTTGTTTTAAAATATGTTGATTATGAAAACACTTAATTTATGTTTTTATTTTATATTAATTTTTAATTAATTATTTTATTTGTTTGTAATATTAATTTATTTTATAATCTTCATTAACGAATATTTTTGAATATTTGTTTATTTAATTTAATATAATTTCCAATTTTTTAGTTATAGTTATTTTTTAGAAATATTAATTATTGTAAATATATTTATTATGTTAAAAAAAAAATTAGTTTGTTATTTTGTAATAATTTTTAATTCATTTATAAATATTTTGTACATTTTTTTTGTTAGTAATATTTATTCTATTCTATTTTTTTTTACCAATAATGTTTTTTTAATTTCAGTTTTTTTTTTCTTCTTTTCATTAAAAATTTGTTTATTTTTTTTATTATGTACATGCTTTTTTTTATATGTGTGTAATATTTTTTTTTATTGAATATTTCTATAATTACTTTATTTTTTTGCAATATAGTTTTTTTTTAGTGATAAGGTTCCATAAATCAATTTTGTCAATTTTATAATTATTAATTGAATTACAATTTTTCAGTATTTGGTTGGTTAACAATATATTTAATTTGTTAATATATTTCTAAATTTTTTTATTAATTTCTTTAATTTCAAATCAATATGTTTTTTTTTTTGTTTAGTTAGTAATAATAAACATAAATAATTCTTTGAAAATACTAAAGAAATGCAAGAGACAACGTCAATGCCATGCTTGTCAAGTACAACTGTTTGTACGGACATTAAACAACTCTTTGTTCGACTACATGCATACAAACAACTTGTGTATTTGTATATGTCTTTTTAACTATTGATTATAAAAATGTGCAGCCTTTTCACTTTCGAATTATTAAGTTTTTATGCGCTTGCTTTCAACCGACGGAGATATGTCCCACAAGCACATGTGTTTGAGTGTTTGTGTATGCGTGCCAGCTTTCGTTAGTTTGTTAACATAAAAGTTTTCCTTCGTCATTAGTTGTAGTTATTGCTATTTTTATTTTATTTTTATTTTGCTGAAAATGAATCAACAGTTGGCTTGACAATCCTGTTCACCTTTGTTCAAGGTCGTTGGTTTGTAAGGTCATAATTGTGGCGCTATAACAGCCGTGCCGCAATTTGCTTAAATCATATGCATCATATTAGGTGCGTCATAATATTTTTTGATGTTCAAGTGTTCGTATTTTATATTTAATTAAAGGAAAAAGTAATTTTTTTTAAAGGCTCTTGTAGCTAGCTGTGTCAACATACCCGTATGTGTGTGTATTGTCGGTTTAATTCTTTTAGGTTCTAGAAGTTTAACATTTTTTCTGATTGTCAAACCTGTACCAGTGACCTATACACGAACCCTTCTATTCTAGCACGCGTTGCTTTAATCCCAACCTCCACCAATATCAAAAAGTCTTTTCTTTCGACGCATTCTTCATTTAAAACGACACTTTCATCAGACATTCGAAGGTGGAGACATCACAAAAAAGGCAAAAAAGAGAAATATATTTGTGGGTCTAAATATCTGTTGAGAAGATTAGAATACCGTAGAAATTAATGAGTTTTTGTAAAACAAACTATCATCATACGAGTATATAAGCCTTCTTAAAATTAAAGAGGTACCGCCACTAACTATACTTTTGGTATCTCATTGTACAATTCTAATGGACTCTGGACTTATGAAAGTTGTCTGTTCTATTTGCCACTCTCCTAGTTATGGAGTATCGACGACAGTTATTATTGGCTCTCAATAGGAACACAATATTGGTGCCTTGTGAAATAATGTTTAAATTGCCTGCAAGTTCGCCGGTTGCAGCAATGATATAAGTACATAATATTTATATAATTTTGTATGTACGTCGGGACATATATCTACCGATACTCGTATGTACATATATAAGACAACTTTTCGCATGCATCCGTCTCTTGCATACGTAACTGTTGATGGTAATGTCGCGAAACCCGTCCACCCGGTTCAAGCACCGCCACAACACAACAATCGCGCAATATTTTCAGCTGCATTTCCAACATTTCTTTCCACACAATTTTACTTCCAGTTTTCTTTTTTCTGTTTTTTAACATGACTATTTTCAATTTTGGGAAAAACCGCTCACTTACACATACACATGTGCTCATGCTTTTGCATTCTTCAGTTACTACAAAAACATAAAAATAAATAAATAATTGAAATAAATCCAACACAAAAACGGTCAGGCAAACCGGTTTCATTATATGACACCTGTCACCTGCTACCAAAAAGGTTGCACAGCCGCAAGTAAGCGGCGTTAGCTTCTCTTTTTTTCCTTTTTTATTTTTTAATTTGTATCCCTTTTTATTTCTGACTTGTCTGAGAGAGTGATAATTCGTCAATGACAGTTCGAGTATTTACAGCCGCCGCTTGATTAGTCCTCGGCAAATTGCTTGTTGCCGCATTGTCCATATTTAAAATCTTCGCTTTTTTTTTTTTATTTAAATAAAAACAATTTTATTAGTTCGTGTCCGTAAAAATTTAATTATGTGCTCTTGTTGCACGCACTTCGTTTTAATATAGCCTACTTACCTTGCAACATGCTGTGGCAGCGACTTGTGCGCGTCTATTGGTACCCAGACGTGAGATATAAGTTCGCCTCCATTTACGAAACTGGGTTGGGAAGCGAGTGAACATTCGTGTGTGGTGAGTGTGTGATAGTTTTAAAGGCCACTGCCGAGTGAAATGTGGGCACAACAGTTGCTCTGTGCTGTGCAACTTGAACTCGAAATGTGGTTCCTAGCTGGTAAGACAGCTGTCACACTGGGAGCAATGGCGACATTGCGGCACATAAAAATTAACCTAATTCAGCGGCGTAGTTAACCAACGCCAACACATATTTTTCAACACTTTTTATTTTTATACCCTGAACAGGGTATATTAAGTTTGCTACGAAGTTTGTAACACTCGGGAAAAAAAATCCGGAACATAATAATATATATATATAAGTAGTCAGTGTGGCGAACTGAGTCTATTTAGTCATGTCCGCCGATCTCTCTGTCTGTATTTACGCTAACTAGTTCTTCAGTTTTTGAGCTAACGATCTATATTTTTTCACCCCAAGAAGCTGCTCATTTGTCGGTAATGCCGATATCGGTCCACTACAGAATATAACTGCCATACAAACAGATCGATCAAAATCAAGCTCTTGAATGGCAATTGACAAGATATATTCACGAAATTTGTCATGGAATATTTTCTAAGGCAACGGTACACTCTTCGAAAAAATTGTTCAAATAGAACCAATTCTGCATAGTTGTGTATATGGCTAGCTGCCATAAAAATTGTACAAACAAAATCAAATTCTTGTATGGAAACTTTTTAAATTGTGAGGGTATTATACATAGCTTCGGTGCAAACGAAGGTAATGTTTTTTCTGGTTTTATATATATACACATACATACCTACATATTCTTTCTTGCTTTTACTAATTAATTTCTTCTGTTTTTTTGTTTTACTTTTAGGTCACTCATCGTACAACTGGTGAAGTTATGGTGCTGAAAATGAATCAGTTACGGGCAAATCGACCGAATATGCTTAGGGAGGTGCAGTTGCTGAACAAATTATCCCACCCAAATATTTTAAGGTAAGTTAAAAAAGTTTTAAGAAAAAAATAATAGCTGTGCTTGGTTTTAATTTAAAATTTTCCATAAATCAATAATTTTAACGGGGTTTTCAGCGCTGTTAAATGAAAACCTAAAGCAATAAAAAAACTACATGACAATACTATTTGTAAACATTTAGCGTGAGGTACTCAGAGTGTTATTAACTATTGTTAAACTAACTTAATATCACTTTTGTGATATTTTCCAATATATAAATGGCAGTAAATGTCGCTTGTTTCCGCCGTTAATATATTGAGTATGTTTTATTTATAGATTTTGATTTGGGTTAGGTGGCAACCATAAACATCTATTTTTCTCTTGTTGCGTACAGATTGTAATGAATTATTCATTTATTCATATTTATAAAACATATGGAATAGTATTTTGTACGTATTTCGTCTTCTTAAATTTTTTTGTTCTCGTTAGAAAATTGGCAATCCTATCAAAAAATATAAAATTGATTTGCATGTTCTTTCAAACACCAGTTTTGTCGCAAGATTTTATATACTACATGCGTATGTAGTTTATGACTAAAATTTGTGTAACTTTAGCTGCTTCTGCCGGTAAGGAAAATTTTGCTGCTTAAATTTATCTCAAATCCAAAACTAAAATAAGATCTTACAATGGATGAATACAGATAATGATCGAAATACTAGTAAAAAACGTGATTTTTTGACAAAATAAAAAGAAATCATGAAAAATTTTCTATTTAAAAGTGGCTTGAAAAAACGATATTATTATCAAACTTCTTATTCCTTTAATCAATACCTGACAAATATAATATATCTAACTACACCTGCGGCCAAGTAAAAGTTACCATTCAACATTTTCAAGCGTTACGCATATTTGGCAATACTTTATAGCGATACTTTTTGCGGTATCGAATTTTTTGATTTAGAAATAATTATGTTGTTTATCCAAAATATTAAAAATTATAAACAAAACGTTCAGTTGTATAATAAATCATTTAAAGTTAGTGAGGCTTACAAAGTGAGCTCAAAAGATAAGAGACTGACACGCGATGAAAAATTGATAGTTCATTTTTTTTTTTTTTAATTGAAATTCGAAGTTTAGTCGCGTTTGTCAGATCAACTCAAAATTTTCGAAGAATATTCTCCAATATATGCACATTAGGTGGATAACAAAAAACAAATATTTTTTTTTCGCTTGGTAATCTGAAAAATAGGTTCTTAAACACCTATAGTAGTCGAGTAGTTGGAAGCGAGATATTAATTTTAATTTATTCTGATCCTTCCGTTACAGTTAAGAGCTCACAATTGGAGAGACTTTCTTAGAGGTGCCTGTTTTTCAGAGTACCAAGCAAAAAAAACGTTTTTGTTTTTCCACCCATTCAATATATAAACGAAAAATGTTTTTTTTTTTAATTCTTAAGTGGATATAACCCCTTAATACATATGTATAATATGCAGTACTTATGAACGTGTTTTTAGGTATTATTTTCAAAGTTGGCGGCAACCCTATTAAAAACTGTTTTTCGAAAATTGCCTTAATGTGAAGGTTTACATTTATTTAGCAATTTTATATTACAATTAAATTATTCAAAATAGCGTTGCCATTCGTTTCCAATTTTATTTCGTTTTCATGTTTTTTATATAAACAAACATATATGTATGTATATACTCCCCATATACATGTGTAATATTTGTGCTATACATACAAGTTTTATTAGCCAGCACATTACGAATTAATATCCCGAATGTTGCTGAATTAACCTAGTTTCTAGCGTGCAAACTTGTACCCGTATAACACCACCTCATAAATGGCAATCCGAAATGCCTACTCTAAATAGTAATTCCTCTATAAAACAAAAAAAAAAAAACAGTGTGTGCCATTAAGCAACTCCACTACTTGACTTCTTATTGAATCAACATTTTGCTCTTGGCTCTTCACTCTTTGCACAAAAAGTTCTCATCATTAAACAGCGCTTAGTCTCATAACCTAAAAAAGAAGGAATAAGAAGTGTGCTAACAACAAAAAGCAGACGACGACGACTCATTAATTACTGTTTACAAGCACTAACAGGCAATATACTGAAAGCTCACTAGCAGACACATACAGAAGCACCATAAACACCGGTATGAAATAGTTGAAGAACTGCTACTGTCGTTCGTTCGTTCGAGTTGGCAACCAAGAGTACGCGTCCAAGAGCTGGTAGCCGGTTCTCGGGCCGCCGGTGCATTAAAAGGGGGAAGTATTGCAAATTGAAAGCAGCACAATTTCGCGGTTGCTGCTGGCTATATACATACATACATACATATCTATGTAGGTTCGCTTGTGTTGCTTGCAATGTGTAGCGTATCAGTTCGTTTGACATACCAATCTCATTCGCTCACTCACTCTCTCAGCCACTGCAGCAGACACAGTTAGAATTTAATATATACCCGTACTCGTACGAGCTTGTCAGCATGGTGTATACTGAGTTGCTATTGTTGTTGCATTTTGATGTGAATAACACGCATTCTCGACTGTCAGGTGAGTGTCATCGCAGCATTCTTGCCAAACCAATTGTAATAATTCTTTGTTGACAACTATTTTCTAAGAGTCAAAGTTCTAGTCAGCTGCACTTAGACACTTACTGGTACAAGTTAGGTAGATCTTGCATTACATTGCATAATTCTTAAACTGTTGTGATGTTTGGCTCATCAAATTATCGAGTTAGGTATTGCGCTATATAAAAGCATATACTACTTGGGCTGAAAAGTCTGTATTCTGCTCGAGAGATTGAGGGACAAACAAAATATTTCATATCATATTCTTAGAGTTAAGGTTAGTAACTAGAACACTGCCAAAGTTTCTTGAGATTTCATCGAATCGCTTTCAAGTTATTGGTCTCAAAGCTACGATACTTTCCTTTATAATAAAAAGAGGTAAATTTCGTGTTTACTCTTTCCCCAAAACAACACTCCTTCATCTTGTTATATGACTGATAAGTTGAACGGATTGTGCTATGTACTAGATCCTGTCCACCGTATTTCATAGATTTTGTTGATAGCGATTGTTTACTCTTTCTCAGATTCAAATAGCGGCTCGCTGGAAAAATATTTAACTTAAAAAACTTTTACCTTGTTCTTAGGCTATCAATCGTGTAAAATGTAAAATCCTATAAATTGCTGCGGAAATTGCAAAAGATATGTCGCAATAAATGTCACATCCTACTGACACGCCATCGCAACCGCTAAGCTGTTTAACTGCGCACGACACAAAGGTTCATAGCCGCTCGAGAGGTGTTTCGCTTTGTTTGACGCCTTTAGCGCTCTCTCTCTCTCTCTAGTCCTCGCTGAAATGACTTCCGTGAAGTATGCAAGGCGTTCGTTGTTGTCATGTTTTAGTGCAGACTGTTGTCATCCTTTTGCCATATTATATTCTTCTATCAATCTTAGACTATGTCGCATTGTTGGTGTGTTTAAGAAGAAGCTTTCTACTTTTCGTAGGCGGTTAGCTCAAAGCGAAATGCAAGTTGTAGACAAAATGAATGCAAAAAAGGAAGCCGATTGCAACCCTTTGTAGTCCGCTTGCAGGTGTTATATCTTAGTTTAATATATTTTTTTATGTAAGAGAATTCATCAAAGAAATTACAGTTTTAATTTTCTTAAAGTCAGTGCTCTCCGATAAAAAGTATGTAAGTTTTATTTCATTGTGTGCTTGTATATATTGTTAGTTGTTTTGATTAAGTTAAGTTCTTAAAAAAAAAAATTGTTTATTTCTGCCCGATTGGTGTAGTTATTGATCTTCAACAATTTGTTTTTGTTACAATCTGTCTATTCCTTCATCGCTTTAAATATTATGGCTCCATTGAACTTCTCTGTCCAATTAAACTTTGCTCGTTTTGAGGTTTTTAAGTTCATAGATGAATGCAATTATTTTTTTAATTTTCAGAGGTTCAATCTCTTACCTATCTATGTAAGTATATATAATTAACACTTAATGCAAATGCATTACTTTCATCAATTACGAATATTTATCTCTATATATTCTTTTCACTGGCAAGAAACACTTTGTGCACCCATAAATTAATTGTGAATCGTTTTTTGTTAATCTGGCAATTAAATTCATTGATATACCGAAAAATAAACATATGCACATATACTCTTTTGTCTTAATTTTTTGCAAACGATCCTCATAAAGATAGACACGTCTCTTTGTTCAAAGGCATTTCCGCATAATCGTAAAATATTTTACAATTATGCAGAATTTATTATGTTCTCAGAGAAGGTCGGAGACCGAGAAAAGTTATTCACTCTACGCATTACCTAGATTAAGAAAAAATATGGTTGTTCATTGATTTAATAAAGATTAAGAAAAAATTACAATAAATATTATTAATTTATGCTCGCGCTTTTGCTGATATTTTATAGGTCTGTAACGAGGTTTTACCATTCTACAGATGGGGTTATAAGAATCCTACATATTTTAACAGTCCTCGAATACTAATATCGAAGTTGTCATTTGTGCAAAAATATCTCTTACGGACATCCAAAGGTTTCCACAAATTTGTCAGTCTACAGAGTGCTTGCAAAAAAAAAAACAATTTTCACATTGGAGTTCCCTGGGTTTTTCGGATTACATTCAAATAATAATATTTGTAAGATATACGAGCGGGTAAAAAATTCATATCATTTCAAAGAAGAACACATTTTTATTTGGTAAAAGTCTATTCTATTATTCACCATAGTTGCAAATGAGGACGATACACCGATTATAGTTAGGCGTTATGTTAAAATTTCGTTTAAGAACATAAGTCAAGAATTACTTTCATTTATATACAACTACAATAGAGGCTCTTAGCATAACCTGAATTCATGAATTGTTTAGTCAAACTTATATTTCTCAATAGGTCTCCCTACTACATGTAAAGCTCTAAACTTTGTTGGCTTATAGAGTTGTTGTTGTAGCTAGTTTTTTTTTTTTTTTGTGTTGTCTTCGCTATTATGATATGTGCTTATTGATGTGGATTTGATGA